GACCATCGTTGATCTTTTTCCAACCGCTACCGGCCTCGACGAACATCACTCGCCGTGGGTAGGAAAGTGAGAAGAGATGGAGAAAGCTGCGGCAATTGCCAATAATCACAATCTCTTCCGTTTAATGAGGAATACTGGCCCAGGAAATGGGCGTAAATAAGGCAATAAGGGAGTCTGGTGGCACATATTCATCACCAGCAATGACTTCTTGAACGTTGGGCAGAATATTTTAAGGCATAGTTCAGCTGGCCCCCGTCGACACAAGACCTTAATCTTATACCTGCTTCAACTGGGCGAATACTGCCAGTTGATATCAGTCCTCCATCTGAAATGGAGATTCCCCGGGAAGTAAATTGCCTCAAAAAGCATAAGGCTTCCGGCCCCGACAGGTTGTCCCCATCGGTTTTTAAGGATGGAGCTTCAGCCTTGGTTCGGAGTAAACGAAACTCCTGGGCTCTGTGTGGGAGAGGGAAGAGGTTCCAACTGAATGGTGTGAATCGGTGATCATATCGATTTTCAAGAAAGGTGATAAATTCTCTTGTGAAAACCACAAGGAATTAATGTACTCAACGTTATCTAAAAACTTCTCGCTGTTATTATACTCCGTCGATTGTCTGCCGCATGTGAAGAGTGCACACATGAGAACCAGGATGGTTTTAGATCTGATCGAGGCTGTATTGATCAAATCTTCACTCTTCGTCAAATTCTAAAACCCAGACAACCCTTTCGTAGACTCACCATTTCCATCTTCCTTGATCGGTGGTGGTGGCCCGGTGGTAACGCCACCAACTTAACGATCTCGGGGGAGGTGTGATTGAACCCCACCACCAACGCCTGACTTTCCCCAGCCCTTTAATTGGCCTCTTCCCCATTCCTGAAAAGTTGTATCATTGTGTATTCAATAAAAAGGAAGTAAAAGGAAAAAGGAAAGAAAAGATCTGAAAGCCGCTTTCGATTCAGTCGACTGCTCAAATCTCTGGCGCTGCCTCACTCTAAAGGGTCTACCCGAGCAGCTTATTTAAATATTACAATCCTTTTATACTATTAGCCGAAGCCGAGTTCGAGCTTACGGCACTATTTCGCCCGAGTTCACTACAGAAAGTAGTGTTCAACAGGGTTGTCATCTCTTCGTTTCTATTTAACCTTGTCATAAGTTAGATTCCTGAAACAGCCCTATCCTCGTGCGAGGATAGTGACATCGATTTACTGCCAGGTGGCACTGTCTGATTTAGACTATGCAGACGACATTGTGGTACTAACTGAAAATCCAGGTAAGTTGCAATCTTTTCTGGACAGTTTGAGTGCTAGTATATCCATGTTCGGTATGAGTTTTGCACCTTCGAAGTATTTCTACAAGATTGGATCGGTCCAGCACCCAACCTCACCCTGACTGGGGAAGTAATAAAGCACGTGGATACATTTTGTCATTTGAGCAGCTAAATCTCACTCGGTGGACGCATTACGCGAAAGTTAGACTCCATCTAACAACTCGCAGGAAGACCGTCCCCTCAAAACGCCTAAACGTGCTTCCACTGGATAACAGCGCCGGTTTTGGTTGCTGTCTTTTGAACAATAGAAGTAGTAAGCCCAACTGTTACTGCTCAGTTGTGACAACCAGTTATTTAAGCTACAGAATTTGCAGTGATTATATACAGAAAGATTAAAAGCGATAGTCACTGGTGGTGTGATAGCGCTAGGATATCAACCTAGCACCTTCAGGTTTACCAATTGTAAAACGGAGTGAAATCCATTCAGAAGCAAGAACACGCCAAATATATGCAGGAGTCGGTTTAGAATTAACTTCCAAGCTGTAAAATCTTAGTAGCCATGATTTGCATTGATGCAGATAAGTGCTTAGCTAAAAACAGGTCCTCCACTGATAAAGTAAAGCGGACTCACATTAGAAAGTTGTGTTTTGCAAAGTGGACATTCTGCCTTATAATCCAAGGATTGTTCGATGCATTCACGACAGAATGTGTGGCCACACGGCAAACTACAGGGATAGAGAAATATTCTGCTCGAAAAAAGTCGGATAAGTGGAAATAAAGACACTCACAACAGACACAGAGCACATTGGAAATCATCTCGTATAGCTGCAATCGAGTCTACGAACGAATTGATAAGTTCAATGACAAACACAACTACCTCCAGTTGGATGACATTCTTCTATTGGATCTTGACGCAACTCGTCAATGAGTAAAGTCGTTTCGATTTTTTGATGCGAAGAATTTAGATGCATCCACGGTTCAATTATTACCGTCGCCTTCGCATCCTCGGGCAGATTCTACAATGCCGAGTTGGATCAGATGCCATTTACATTCAAGCAAAAAAGCTCAACTGTTAGTACGTCAAGAACCGGGGCTGATTCAGTTGTACACAACTCAACTATGTTTTTCCACTGGGCAACATCCGCATTGGTAATCACCTCGTCCAGAATCTAAGAAGGACATTAGTTAACAACATGGGACGACGACGCACCAGCATGATTTCCGAACGTAAACAGTCTGAGTAGGGAAATAGGGTGAAACATTTGAAAAAATACTCCAGAGCGAGACGACGGCGGCCTAGACCTTTCAAAGCGCGACCCTTGTGACAGAACCACTGAGTTGCGTTAGCATAACACTTTACCACAAAGAAGTATACCTTTGGGACGGGAGAAACCTGACCTATTTGTTTGTCGATAATGGATAATGCTGTTTCGTAATCCGAGTTGAGTAAGCACACGTCCACCTTGATCTGTAAGCATCTAGCGTGATTTGGATCTAAGTAAACAGATTTAAAGTGAGAAAAATTAGTTTAATGTTGAATCGTGCTTACATTGTTCTAGTAACTGATCTACGGCAGTCAGCGCTTCTGTATAATGCCCCCGGGCTGTCAGTGTGCACAATTCGTCGACTCGTTGGTACAGGGAGGCCACATTCGGGAAAAAGTGCCGAATTGTTTTGGTCAGTAGGATGCAGTCACTAAGTTCACCGGATGTGGTCGATGCAGAACAACATTGGCAACTTAATCGCGCATCCACACATTTCCGACAGAAAGAGTGACCACAAAAGAGAACGATTGGGTGAAAGTATGGAGCTTTGCAAATAGTACAAGATAAAGCTGCGGTTAGACGATTGGTACCGGCCACATCTGCACGGCTTAGTAGGTTGCACACATTTTTCCGGGAGGTGTGCAACGTGATACAGAACTCTGATAACTTGGACCATACAAACGCCTTGTGGTTCGCCAGACAAGCCTCATCTTCATAAAGTTTGGCAAACGCACCAAAAGCCAGCGAAAAGATTGGAGATCTCACGAACATTTCTGCTAAGCTAACAATATTACTTTCAGAACCCATCGTTGATGCAACGCCACAACAGCTGAAAAGAAGAAATGAGAGGTGATAAGTCTCCGGAATAAAAACCATCTGATTTAAAAAGGAAATTAGAAATGCCGTGATGTCTATTATATTGCGCAAGCAGCAGCGGAATTCGTGGTTTATGGTTTCATAAAACGACACAGTGCGTCATGGTGAATATGATACTGGTTTAGCGTAGGTCATTACCAAAGTGACACAGAAGCGACACAGTGAAGCGAAATACGCTTAATGGTGCCAAGCCTAGGACTGAAACGCCGGCGTTTAGCTTTTGCAAGCAGTGTCCAGTACTTGGAACACTATTCCCTCACAAATCGTTTGTGCGCCAACTGTTGGATCTTTCAAGCGAAAGCTTGACGAAATCCTGGTACATCTCACATTTCTACACAATAAAAACGCAAATTAGCTTAATGCTACATTATACTGGAATTGTTAAAAGTTCAGTAGCCTTGGTAGGATCCGAACCCATGGATGGACCCAATCAGCCAATGACCATAGCCAGAACCAATAAATTACGGGTGAGTGTGGTTTGTAGGTTTCGTCTTAGTTTGTATGGAATCAGGGTTTTAGCTATCTCCCATAGGTGGACTGCCAGGTATTCACCAACCCGGTTATAGCCCGGAGTTCGGCTTTTCGTCCTCTCACTTTGGCGGGGAAACATCATTACGGGAAGACAGTGAGTACGGTTTCCTTAGCATGGGCTATGAGATGCTTGGTTGTATAGGAGAATGTCGCATTTCGCTGAATGCTTCTGTACGATCAGTTCACTGAAATATATATCATGCAAAATTGCAAAGTGAAATACTCGCTCGGTGCCGGTTCCCTTTTTATAACGGGAAACGGACCAAATTCTGAACCAATTCCTTCGAAAGCTGAAATTATTAGCAAAAGATTGTGCTTCCAAGTCAATCATAGTTGAACAAAATCAGGACGATGCCATGCGCGACACCATCATTAGCAGAATGTAGTAAAGCATAATTTGGCTGTGCCTTTTAGATAATAAACCACTAGATCTCCACGCGGCGTACGAACACACTTTTTCATTAAAATGGCAAATCATTAGTCCCTCGTCTTATCAACCGGAACCATCGTATTCAGTATCCAAAAGATTTACACTCAACCACTATCCTGGAGAATATCAACAACGGCGGTTGGTTGATACTTATTTTGCGCATACACTAGGAACCCTCATCCCCAGTAAAGTGCTAGAGATACTGTGCAAAAACTGTAATAAAACATAACCAAAAGGTTTGTCAGTCTGGAAAGTTCAATTATTCTCATTTGAAACATTTCATCTTAACCAACTTCCGTACTGATATTCTTTGACATCATGAATTTTGTGTTCACACAAAGTACAGGTGAATCCTTTTGGTGGTGAGAATGATCCATTTTCACTGGGTGACCTTAATACTATCTGTATCGATCCAACACTCCTCTTTCCAACCCTTTCACCTGCTTGTCACCGGGCCGAAACAGAATAACGACGATGAACGTTTCATTGAGGTTAGAATCGACCACCCACTTAAAGGAATCATATAAAGGTTCAACTCACCCTGGCGCGGTACTGTTCACTACGAACGAGCGACACAAACGCGGAATGGTGATTGATTACATCCAAATAGTAAGTCGACTTACACTTCCTGGCACCTACCCCTTCTAAAGGTTGATCTAATAGTCAAAAAGAATATTCAACTGTTGTTTTGAGTGTTCGACATTTAAAATCTGCTTACGACCAAATACAAATGTGCGACAAAGACAAGACCTTCAACGCGTTAGGAACCTGCGGAGGTCTTTCTCAAATTTTTCGAACCTCATTTGGTGTAACCCACAGCGTTCCGTGTATTCAGAGAGTGATCGATCAAATTGTTGGTGAGATATCTTTCTTTCCCCGTCGCCTAACTGGATAACATTACTATTTGTGAGAACGACGAGCAACAGAAAGCAAAATATTTCTAGGTCCTGCAATGCTGCTGAGAAATATGGACTGGCATTTAATGGCTGTGAAAACATGGTCGCGGTAAAGAGGATTACGCTTTTGGAATATGAAATTCAGTCTAAATCGATAAGGTCCGTCACAAATGAAATAGAACCTTTACAGAATTTACTATTCCCCCCCCCCCCCCAAAAAAAAAGTTTCAACACCGAACAATCAGGCTATTTACTTATTATTCACAATGGATGCTACACTATTTCGACAAAATCGACCACTTGCTTCACAATTGAATGTTTCCTTACCAGATGAGTTCACAGCGCATTCTATGTCCTTGAAGTAAGAATTGCCACGATGCACTATGCTAGCAGTAGATCATAAGTCATTCCTTGTAGTTGAGACCGACGGTTTCAATGTTGATATTGGTGCAATACTAAATCAGAAACACAACATGGGGAGGCCTAATTTTCTAGGGCATCGACGGTCATTGAGCTACATCAGTTATCATTAGTTAGGGAGTCATCGTGGTATAAGTTTCCAACTGATTATGAACCAGATACCGACCACGTTCATGTATGACGTACACCAGAGGGGGAACAAAAATGATAAATGCAGTTCTATGATTTCTCTGGTAGTTCACCTAGGGGAGTTGACTAAAAACTTTGATTTCAAACCAACCAAGAGGGGGCGTATGAACCACACTCACATTTTTCCGGTTGTGGCAACGGTCACCGGCTCGATTGGGTATCGAGGTGTATTAGGCACCTTAGACGTTTGATCCCGTCCAAAGGGTGTATGATCCGATGAACTGGACAACGGCCCCCTAATAGAGTGCGGTTTTCACACGGCCCGCTGTCTTGCGGGTCAGGCTTTAACTAGCCGAGGACCCCAGTTGTGGAATCCTCAGGAAAATTCACCTGCCTTGACCTGGGCAACCTGGCAGTATTCTGCCCACATGAAAATCGTGGAATATTTTTCTTTTCATAAAGATTATTGCACCATAATTTGTTCGGCACAGTCTGGTGTCAGACGTGTGAAATATATATATATATATAATGATTTCTCAGAGAACATATACGGTGATATACTTAGTCACTTTTGTGCAGACCACTGACTATAATCATTCGATGGACTAATAGAGCATGTCAGAGTTCGGTCCTCGGACAGTTACTATTTTATGACACGCTTATGATGAGCAGCAGACGGGGTGGACCCCATATCCTCGAATACCTGCAGTTCGGTGATGGGCACCACCAACCTAAGTCCCAAGACTCGGAGTGGCGAACCACACAAGGCCCCGCTAGATTAGGCGTGGTATGAAACCAGACGACAGAAAAACTGCTTACCACCAAAGTTGAGTGATGGTGGAGGAACTCGAACCACGAAGATTTAGCAGAGCTAAGCAGTTCACTATGCTTTATTTTCTTAGACGATATGAAGCTGATTGGATCAAGTGGCAGGGTTAAAGTAGTGAAGGACATGCAACCTGTAGCTGAATGGTTAGAGAAGTGGGATTCAGTTCAAAATGCAGACGAATATCAACTAATGCCCAGGACACAGGACCCTTCACGGGCTGTTGGACAGTAAACAGTAAAACAACCAGGGATATGGGGGTAATTATGACAGATGATTTCATTTGGAGCTACCGACTTGAAGCGGCCGTCCAGAAGGCGAGAGAAAATTCTCGGCTCAAGTCAGCGTTGCTCTCTAGAAAGCCGGAAATTTTCGTCCCATTGTGCAAAGTAATTGCAAGTCCCATTTGGAACACTGTGTCCAGGCATGAGCACCTCGGCAAAAAATGACCACCTAACAGGACAAAGTATCGAGACTAGCTACAACAATCTCGGAGGAGCAAAAAGGGTTAAACTTATCAGGACAGATTATTAGATTTCAACCTACTTCCGTTAAAAATAAGGCGAATTCGAGGGATCTTACAGAGGCTTTTGACGTTAGAGGGGAAGACTTCAGTATCCACCACAGGGATTTGTATCACTAATGTCTCCTGTAGATGTGTGTGCTTCAAATACTTTAGTAATAAAGTGGCTAATAGGTGGCTTTCGAACCAGCATTGGACAAGAAGTGGGTAAAACTGCTACTCGAGGCGGATTTCCAAACAGACTACGGGAAGTTGAATAATCAACTTCATGAGAATATGTAAACTGCCGTGAAACTAGTCATCCATGTTAAAGTATATTTGCAAGGAACGCGATACCGCACTCTAACACTGCTTTACATAAAATGCTATTGACTCGAAGTGCTGGGAGACAAAGCGGGTCAGGTCAAGTTCGGTTGAATAGGATTGGAAGTGGAGAAAGCCACGTGGAGGTCAGCAGATGGCCTAGAGAAGAGGCGTGAAGAAATGCACAGAGCGATTCGGCACAGTAGGTGTCTCTCGTCTTCCGGATTGGGGTCCAAAAGACTCCGAAACCGTATGGTTGGTCATGACTGCGAACCGACAGCAATGGCGATCATGTTGTCACTTCTTATCAGACCAGAATACTTGAAATAGTATGTACGCATAGTTGGACTGTGTACTCTGTGGTTCACTTTCTTTTCCCGTCCCTAAAAATAGGCCCAATCCCTATCCTCCTTACATATTCTCACTTATCGTGTATGCATTATGAGTTTGGCAGCGATCAGTGAAGTTCGCTTCACTGTATTATGCTGCACAAAGATGACGATGATGATGATGATGACGGCCAATTGACCATGCAGAATTTCTTCGATGGTGTGCTTACGTGTGTGCGTCTGAGATTGATCGGTTTCTCCTTCTATCTACCAGTATAAAAAGACTACTACCCACCGTGTTGACCAAACTTTTGATGTGTTGGCGTTCCACATTCTACAAAGCTAATTTCGAAATTAATACACTGCGTCTGGGAAACCAATGAGCCACCTTGCGTTCAAGGTTCATTTACAGGAAGCGCCAACGTACAAAGAACGAAGCGAACTATTGAAGAGAACCCCCGTTCAATCCAGAAAGAGCTGAACTTGAAATCAAAGTGGTGCAGTTCCA